CATCTGATGGGGACCAATATCCAGGATGTAAAAGGAACTCAGAACAGAGACTCAAGAAAGCAAACAACCCAGTTGAAAAATGGCTACAGATCTGAACAGAGAGTTCTTAAAAGAAGAAATAAAATGACTAAGAAACACACTTATTCAACATCCTTAGCAATTAGGGAAATTCAAATTACAACTATTTTTTCATCTCCTCCAAGTCAGATTGGCCAAGATCAAGAAAACAATTGATAACAAATGCTGGTAAGGATCTGGGGGTAAAAACCCTCATTCACTAGTGGGGTAACTAGTGGGGTAACAAATGTCATCCTGAAACAAGGTCTTTCTATGTATTCTATATAGCCCTGGCTGGCCAGGAGCTCCTAATATACACCAGGCTGGTCTCCAAACCACAGAAATCTACCTGCCTCTACCTCCTGTGTGCTGAGATTAAAGGTGTGTGCCTCCCTCCCACCCCAACTCACAGGTTCTTTCTTGTTTGTGGTTCCTAGCTCCAAGCACATAACCTGGAGTAACCATAGAAACCAGGCAAGTATTGATAATTGGTTTCAGAGGGCCCTGGTCACTGTGGGTGGTCCATCCCTATGCAGGGTGAGTCTGGGCTATGCAAGAAAGCTAGCAAAACAGAGGGACAAACAAGTGTCACTCCTCCCTCCATGGTTTCTGCTTCCTTGGACCCTGCCTGGGCTTTCCTTAACAATGGACTATGACTTGTAAGGTGAAATAAACCCTTTCCTCCCATGTTGGCCAGTGTTCTATTACTACAGCAGGAAAACCAACTAGAACAGCTTCAGCTCCACAGTGTTGGAAGCTAGTTTAGACTATATGAGACCCTGTGTTTAGAAAAAAAAAAAAAAAAAACACAGAAAGAAAGAAAATCTCAATGCATTGGAGGCCAAAATATTAGCACTCCTAGGAGTCTAGAAGTTTGTTCTAAAATGGATGATTTTGAGGGTTCAAAGACTTGAATAAGCAAATGCAGATGTTTTAGAGTGGTAAGAGGTCAGAAGTGGAGGCTGGCCACGTGACTGAATTGTTACAAGTGCATCATAGAAGTTGAAGGCACCAAGGACCTTTCTGTGGAAGAGTGAAGAAAGTGCTTTCCCCGAGATGGAGTCTACCCCTGGTGAATATGCTGTGCATGGTGTAGGATTAGGAAGATGACATTAATTTAGTTACTATAGCAACAGCAGGAATTGAGAAGGTTGGTTCCAAATTTGAACGATATTCTGCTGTGGGTAAAGTGGTACCCAGCAGCATCTTGTGCTATAGATAACTCTTTTGTGGAAGTCAACAACTGATACAGCAAATATCACTGTTGACTTATGAAGTCACCCAAACTGCCGCAACCTTTGATACCCCAGGCCCTGTTTGATCAGAAACCATAGCACCTCCAAAAGATTACGACTGAACTTTAGAAGACCGTTAGCAGTTTCAGCAATAAGGTATTCTTGATCGAAGCATGCACATTTATTCCACACGCACACTCATAGACTAATACAGAACGAATGTAACTTCCAAATTTTAAGTAATGCATATTAATTCTACATGCTAAGGCAGTGGTTCTCAACCTGTGGGTCGTGACCTCTTTGGGGTCACATATCAGATACACTGCAAATCACACATTTACATTATGATTCATTACAGCAAAATTACAGTTGTGAAGTAGCAACAAAAGTAATATGATGGTTGGGGGTCCCCACACGTGAGGACCTGTGTTAAAGGGCCGTAGCCTTAGGAAGGTTGAGAGCACTGCTCTAGAAGGTTACATTTTCATACATGCATTTATATACTTTTATTCTCCTCCCCGTCCTGTGCCCTCCTCCCTCTCCCCTCCCTTTTCCCCTCCCTGTTTCTAATAGTCCCCCACTGCTTTCATGACCTTCACTTTTTACCCTAAATTCCACATCTGAGAGAAGACATAAAACTTCCCGAGGCTTTGCCGGGCGTTGGTGGTGCACGCCTTTAATCCCAGTACTGGGGAGGCAGAGGCAGGTGGATCTCTGTGAGTTCCAGACCAGCCTGGTCTACAAGAGCTAGTTCCAGGACAGCCCCCAAAGCCACAGAGAAACCCTGTCTCGAAAAA